GCCTCGACCTGGTCAACTTCGAGTGGACTCGACATGCGCCGGAACTCAGAACCGGACTCCTCCTCCCTGGACCTTGCTAATATCCCACAGGTTACAAGTTACAACCCGTCCACCCATACACAGTAACCTACACACAATCAGGACTCAGTGTACACCAAGCATCGCCGTCCATCCCTCGCTCGCCCAGCCGGTACCACCCACACTCGCGCACAAGTCCCCGTCCGCCCGATGACCTAACCGCTTACTCTGCACATCCTAAGCAGAAGCATAACGCCGTAAGGCCTTGAGGTAGGGATGGAGGCCGTCATCCGCTACACCAGAACCCAAGCAAACAACGTGCCCGGGCCGCATATTGAGCCTCTCCTTCCCACCACAACATCCGACCGCGCCGCTATCGCCGCCGGCGCAGGAACGCAGGAACCATCACTTGCATTCAGGGCCAGGCACAACCGGTGGGACGCGGCGGACAGTGGACATGCACAGAACAGAAGGAAACTCCCAGTCTGCTACTGCTATGGAGTACATGCCGGTAGTGCTGGCTCTGTGAATCGTGATGCTTAGCACAGACCGCGGCCCTCCTTCAATGGACCAGACCAAGACCCCCAGGGACCACAAGCACGGGAATCTGTCATCCATTCTCAAGTCTCCATTGTGTCGAAACCGACTCAGCCCTCCCGATATCATGTCCCGGCATTCAGTACCCTACTTCAGGTTGGACAATTGAGTTCGAAGTCCAGCCTTGGCGTCAACGGCTCCTGCATTTCTACGCTCCAGTTGTCTATCTGGCCCTTTTCTCACAGCTCGCCCTTCGTCACAGTGAGAGTCTGGGTCCTCCTCTCCCTCCCCTGGCCCATGACAAAGCGAGGCCATCGCCAAACGGACACTTTTCAAGGTCTCAATCACCACCCCAACCATGCAAGGTACCTAGCCGTCTAACCCCTTCCCTGGGGTCACGAGTGGACCATGACCATGCTCCCGCATCTCAAGCGTGAACAAGAGGTGGACTGGGAGGGGGAACTAATACACTGGAACCATCCCCTCGGCGGACTACCTATATGCCACCGACAGGACATGGCCTCAAAGGGAACCCTGCGTATCATCCCAGCATGCGGCATTCCCGCCGAAGGTGCCTGTCTGCACGTATAGCTGCCAAACCGGTCACTGTCAGGGCCATTTTGACAACGTCCGTCCGCTCCCGCGGCTCTCAGCTGTAGATCTCGCTTCACATGCATCTAGGCCCCCCTCCCTCGCCTACATACATCCCGCGCCTGTTTGACGAACCCAGTCGACCATCATCTCGAATTAGATCAGGTCCCCACCCTCAACGATACCCCGCGTCCATGATGACAATCTTCCCACCGGTTGCCCTGGCTCATGTCAGGGCCCTTTTTTTTTTTCCTCTTTCCAGAACGCCCAGAGATGGTTGGACGTTCGAGAAACACCAACTCCCCCACTTCTGCTGGGCATCTCCAGCTTGAACCGCTGTCTTTGGCTGACAAGCTTCGCCGCGACGGGGGCCTTTGCTTTGGAATCACTGATAACAATCCAGAATAGCCCTTTGCCAAGCTCTGTTTCTCCAGGAAACAACATCATCATTGAAATCCATGGTACGCAGTCTCCTCGTCCAGACAAGTCTGCTACCGATACTGTATGACTGCGAACGAAGAAGACGACCCAAGAAAGAGACCAAGTAACCACTCGGAAACTCCCCCCTTCCTCTCGATCTCCTCATGCGCGCCTACAATGCTGCCATTTGGTCAGAGAATGTGATCAAGATATCCCGAATTAGCAACTTCATCTTGCGTACGCCGTACGGCGACATCGACAGGTCCGGTAAACCCATGTCAGATGTCCCGTCTCGTCACAAAAGGGTTCGTCCTTCTATAGAGCAGCAGTCGTCTAATTCGTCCGGAGAAAGATTCAAGCTAAAGCAAGGTCGAGCCGATAACCGCTGTCGTCGCAAGAATTCACAATTATGTCTCCGTCCCATCATCAACCGGCAACACGCCATCCCACCTTTTTTCTCATTTCTAAATCGAAATTTAACCATATCATTAAGTTAAGCGCCGGCCCATTCCCAACGAGCATGACGCTAGTCCAACATCTTGGAGCCGGGTTTGGGGATGGGGGGTTGGGCAGAACGAACGAAAATGCTTGACTTCACTTCTTTCCCTTCCGACACGGCGTACCCACCCCGGTCAGGTTATCAAAAACTTGCCTTGTGTGAAGCGCAAAAGAGCCTCTTGTATCCCTATCCATCCACACACGCATCACTTTCCCAGGTTTCCCTCTCTCTGGGTTGTGAAGGTGTGAGCTCGACATGCATGTTTCTTGGAGGCTAGCAAGAGACTGAAGGTGTTCCTGGGTGCAAATCCCAAGCCGATTGGCCAAACGCACCCTACGATCCAAGAAGCCCTATGCAGGTTGGTGGTGCAGACGTGCTTCTCCCCTCCCTGTGCCCCCCTGCGAGGTCGTCCAACCCATGTCTTGCGTTCTAAAAATAGGTTTATTTTTAGCACAACACACTTGGCGTGCATATGCTCACCTCTTGCTCCGCAGCCACGCGACCCGGCGACCGTTTCTCCCCCCCCCAAGGACAAACCCAAAGGCCTTTTGGAACCACACACGCACGCACCACTGCATCTCGGGAGCCAATTATCCCCCTTGCCCTTTCTCGATTACACAGTAATAACACGTCCTTCCCGACTTACACAGTACATTTATCTTGGGCTGTTGGTAGGTAAAACTCACCTGTTCCACTTCTGATATGTCTAGTCAATGTTTCCTGGCGCCGCAAAACCAGGCTGGGGGTTTTGGAGAAACCATCCTCTCACACATCTGGCTTGGCGGAGAGACTTCTTTCTCTGTGACGAGGGCCCTTGTATGAATGACCCCATCCACCAAACCCATCATCATCACTATCATCAATAATCACCAACCACATGTTCGTTGCAACCCGCGCATCCCACCGCGTCCCATCCCATCCCATCCAATCCACACTTTTTTTTTTTCTTCCCATCTGACTTTGACTTCCCCCCTTCTCCCCCTCCCCCTTTCCCTCTCCCTAGGTAATCAACCACAAACTGGTTCCCAGTTTCCTAAACCTTGCACGGATGGATTTCCCACACCTAGTCTACGTCAAAAGAGGCCCCAACCGAAGGGCAACCAAAAGCAACCTCAATCTGACAAGCCTGACAAGCGGGACAACAAACCCCTCCTCCAAAATGGTACAAATGGAAACAATCCCTGGGCTATCCCATCTACGCCTTTTTCCAAACAAAAAAGTCTTGATCGTTTCGGGCGCGTCTAGAATGCACCTTGTTGGTACCTGTCGCCCATTATCCCCTCATCCAATCCCTCTTTGACGTCCTCCCCCCCTCCCCCCCCCCCTTCTTTCTCACCATCTCTCGAGGTTCGTCCTTGTTTCTTTCCCTAAATTAGCCCCGACCATCGTCCGTCGTGTTTTGTGCCCGATTCGCCAATCTGGGAAGATGATGATGCGCCGCGAGAGTCCTGCCACCAGACACATTGATACAAACAATCCCGGATTCTTCCCCCCTTCTCCCCCCTCCCCCCCCTCTGTCTCCTCTCCACCCATGTTTGTGCGTATCTACACTACAAACTACCCTTACCTGTCTTTGATCTTCCCGTCTCTCCAATCCATGTTCATCCTTTTGCCGCATCTAGTTCTCCCGGCAACTTACCTACACTACCTCCTCTCACCCTCCATGTAATCATCGGCCCATGCTAGCCTCTTTCAAGAGCCTCCCCCCTTCCTGTCCTTCCACATTTCACCCAACCGCCCACACTAGCTAGCTACCCCGACTATGACATGCAATATTCAACCTGGAGCCCGGGGGGGGGGGGGGGGAGTTTCTCCAACCTCAGAAACCAAGGTAAGCTGAACCTACGCGTTCATCACTGCAGAGTAACGACACACACACACATCATCATAGCGGAGAAAGAAGCAACAATAGTAGTTAGTCACTTTGTTGAAATGAATTTCCCACGCGTGTGATGAGAGAGCTATCACCCACGCTTTACGCGGCTATAGCTAAACTTAACAACACCAGACGCCGTGCCGATGCATCATTACATGCTTTGCTTAACCGCTTTGCCAAACCCCCTTCCTTGCCACCATTCGGCTTCGTTTTTTCCCCCCTTGCTCGTCATGAAGTGAGAGCAGTCCATTAAATCTGCCCCGTCCAGTTTTGACAATGTTGATCAAGCTTTTTCCAAATTCCCCAAGGTCCAAGGGCTCACCTCGCAGATGTTTTCTTTTTTGTCATTGTACACACACCCTTTCCCTTTCCCTCTCCCCCTTGATTGTCGAATTGCATGGCGGGTTCCAATTTTGGGTTGTTCGGTCCGACCTCTTGTATGAGATTTCTCTGGTCCAAACGCTCGCAACTACCCCAAACTTTCTTCAACATGAATTCCCAGCCTGTTCATTGTGCCTGAACCCCTTGCGTGAAATCGCTTGGCTTAGCCCTATTGTTAGCAACCGGGGGATGGCTGCGGGTGGGGTTCTTTCCCCGTTCTGGAACGTTCGTCGGTAGTTAAGCGACCAGCTGCAGCCTTTGCTGTTGATTAATTGGTAAGCGCCGGAAACAGCTACCGGCCGTCCGGTTGTTCGGAGTCTGTCGTCTCAACCGTATTTCGGTGTCCTGCGCTGCAACATCTAGTCCGTTGGAGCCTCTGACAGCTGCAAGTTTCCGCCGTCAGAACTCGACGTCGTCTCGAGTCGTTCATTGCCCGGGAGAACCGGCACCAGCAGCTGGGGCATTGTAGGTACCGAAACCGCCATGTTCTGCGATGCCGTTGTCGGTCTTCATCGTGCCGTTGAGCATAGGACAAAGCCTTTGCGAGGGTTAGTATGCGCGTATATGGAACAGAAGTGATGGGGAAATTGGAGAAAGAGAAAGCATGTTGGGTAGGTAACGAGAGAAAACTGGGGAAAGCAAGCAACAGGGTGTGATGATGGCCAAGGGGGCATATGCTTATATGACCCTAGTGCTCATACTGCTGTTGTGCCAGTAGGGCTTGGAAGTGTACTTGTTGTACTTGAACTTCTTTGTCTTTGGCTTGGGGGGCTGTTTTGGCTGTCCCTTGGACGATGCTCGCCTATTGGCCTTTTCTTTCGAGCGGTCGCGTATCCTGTGCTTTTGAATTCCGTCGCCTCTTTGCTTTGGCGGGGCTGCTTTTCGCTGGCGTGCCCTCAACAGGAGCTCCCGCTTGAGAACCCAGCGATTGTTTCCCCCACGTCTGAACATGCTCCGGAGATCTGAACTGGGACGGGGAGGTAGAGAAAAAGCAAAGGGAGCAATACTTCTTGTTTGTCTTGATGTGTCCGACTTGTCCACAATTGGCACACTTTCGGGTTGTACCGGTGGCAGCACGGTCTGCTTCAGGGGATCCTGCGTCGAGTCCACTCTTGGAACGGTGGAGTCCTTTTTGTTGCTCTCGTCCGATGCGTCGCTGCTTGTTTCGGTTGAGCCGTTCAAGCTCCTTATCAATCCTGCTAGGTGGTCAATCAAGTGTTCAGCATCTACGGAAGGATAATGCCTACTCAACCAGACGACGACGGTCGTCATCAGCGACACCAGTCGGTCGTCCTTCGTAGATACTAAACACGAGATTATGTGAGCGGGGAGCGCATGAAGGTTGAATGATAGACCTGAAAGGGGATCGGGAGGGGGGTAACGCGGTGGGAGTTCGTACTTGAAATCCTCCAACTCCAACTCCTTCTTTCTCTTGATATAACGGTCTATAATCACAGGGTCTTCGAGGATGATGACCTTTTGCTCGACAGCACCTTGATCATTGAGAACTTCTCGGGTAATCTTGAGTTTCTTTCGCTGATTCCGGCTAGTTGATGTCGTCAGGCCGGTAATTTGACTCATCCCTTCGTCGGCATGGGCGGGAGTCTGGGCTCGTTGGGGGTTGAATCGGTCATCTTCGTCTGGCGGCAAAGGGACCACGAGGTCATCGTCCTTCTGTGTGCCATCCTCCAGACTGTCTTTTTGCTTGTCCCAAATTTCGCGAATGCCTTTTCTGTACATGGCTTCTTGCTCCTTGACGTTGTAAGCATGGCCGTTGTTCGCCTTCCGTTGTGCGTCAGGGTGGGCTGCCATGGCGTCAGCTGCGGTGGTATGGGATCCACCTTTCTGGACAGTCTCGATATAGCCGCCCTTCATGGAAGTTCTGATAAAACTGAATCCAAGGCCATGGCCAGTCGGGTCTCCTTGTCCGTGAAGCTTGAGCATAGCCTTGCCAGCGCATGCATCGATGAAGGCCTTGCTGGTTTTCCACGGCGCCATCTTGTCGGCCAGTTTTTCTTCGTTCTTCTCGGCAGCCTTTTTACTACCCTTGGCAGTGCCTGCGCCCGTGCGATCGTCGTCCTCGTCCTCGGCAACCTCTTCGTTGTCGTCCTCCAGGTTAACGTTGTTAGGATCGAAACCAGCATCTTCCAGCATCTGCATACCCAACTGCATACCATCAATCAGGCAGACGTCTTCAGGCTTGATCATCGCTCGTATTGAGTTCTCATCCATAAGAGTCTCGCCGTTCCTAAGGCCCCAGAGCCCTTTCTCAACCTTGGCGTAGGAGAGGAACTCCTTGAGCTTTTGCCGATTTTGAGCGTCCGTAGACTCGGCAATATGTTTCGTCACCTCTGACAGGTTTACCAAATGGTGCTCGTTCCGCCTCATCATGCGGTACGAAATCATCTTGATTCTGTTCTTCGAGGCATTCGTGACCTTTCGAGAGTGAGGGCCGGGGACCTCAACACTAGGAAAAGTCTGGCCAACCACGTAAAGATGATCAATTTTGTGCAGGTACCAGTTGGCTCCGTCGACGCCCGTTGAGCTACGGACACAGAGGAAGTCTGTAGACCGCGGCTTATGCTTGAAGATGGGCGCCCGGTACATTTGGTTGTGCAAAGTAGGCATGGTTTGTCCGACTTCGACCTCGCCAAAGATGGCGAAAGGCGATCTGTCTTCGGGCAAGAGGACGTGCGACTCACCAATTTCCATCTTTGGTGGCGTCTCTTCGTCATCAACCTTCTTTTTGCGGTAGTAGTTAATGACACGGTTTCCCATGCCAAAGTTGGAAAGGACGGGCGGCGTTCTCTCACAGTACTCAAAGAGCACAGCGGTCGAGTTATCCGTTATACCCAAGTCCTTGGTGGTTTTGAAGACCTCATGAGCCTTTCCCTTCATAGTCTTGCGCTTATGGAAGCCCAACTTGCTGAACCTGACCGGTTGACGCTCATGCTTTCCAAACTTGAAATGAGGCCGGTGGAATCCATCACGTCGAATATCCAGCTTGACCTTGTAGAACGGCCATGCCAGTTTAAGCGCAGGCATACTGTGCTCGACGGCAAGATTCCCCAGAGTTGCTCTGACCTTGTGTTGATGGTTCTCCTTGAGCGCCTCGTACGCATCGTCGTTGGACATGTTGAAGCGAGATGATAAGTCAGGTCTCAGGTGACCGTTCGCCATGCGCGTCATCTTCTGCTCCACGCGTTGACGCTTAGGGCCACGTTGCGATTCGGCTTCTTCCAGGAGAAGATATGGGTCGTTCAAATCGAGAATGACACGCTTGGAGGCGCGCTTAGTCACATCCTCAAATGAGTCGAATGATGGTGCGGTGAATCGAGGAATTTCTGGCAAGCCCTTTGGCGGTGGCGGGCGCGTCTTTTTCTTTGGTGGCGGCTTTGGCTCTTCATCTTCCATGAACTCAGCCTCCCAATCGAAGTCAAAAGCATCATCATGGGCACGCTTGACAGAAGCGGCGGCGGCTGCCTCGGCTGCAGCCTCCTTTGCTTGTTGGTCGCGGAAGTCTTGCTCAGCCTGCTCGATACGGATGGACCAGTCATCGCACACCATCTCAATGTCTTGGAGCGTGAAACCCGCCACTGCTTCCGAATCGGATTCTTGCTCGAGATTGAATTCTTCAGCTTCAGCTTCGTCCGAAGACTCTTGCGGAGCGCAAGACATGAGCCCTCTGGATTCATCGTCGATGCGTCTCTGCTTACGAGTCACAGTCGCGGGTCCGGGAATGCGGAAAAGCTTCTCTTGGTCGGCGGCAAGATCCAGAGTGAGCTTGGAGAAGATGAGGGTCTTTGGCTTCTTGGTGGGCTTCTTCTCGATCCATCGGGCCTTCTTGGGAGGTAGGAGTTCGTTCCATTTCAGAATAACACCCTTCTCCCAAGTCGGCCAGGCCTGCTTGACCAAATCTTCAGCAGTCTCAGCTGGAGCAGGAATCTCGGGATCTTGGTTGGCAGCTTCGTAGCCAGGTTCCGGATCGAAGTTGATGTCGCGGTATTGTGATGGATCGGCGTCGTCGGGGTCGTGAACGTGAGGGGCTGGTGATGGTGGACCAGGAACTTCGATCGGAGAAGATGGTCCATCGCCAAACAAGTCGTCGGTGTCGTTACTCGTACCTCCGTCATCTGTCAGACCTGGAACGGACATGGAAGTGGCAACATTGCCTTCCTCCTCGTCCGGAAGATCATCGTCGCTAATATCCTCGAAGTCTTGGGCATCGTCAGCCTTCCCAGACTGGTCGAAAGGGGTATCATCAATAGTGATGCCCAATTCTCCGCCATTCTGGAGTGTCGCGAGAGTCCGCTCGATTTGCTCTTCGTCCTGAGCATCCTGCGCCTTCTGCGCTTCCTCGCTGCGAGGAGGGGATTTGGGAGTGTCGGCGCCCATGTTGTCGATGCTTTGCACAAATATCCACCCTCTGGCACCTCCGATATTGTGCGCCGACCTGTGTAGGTTCTATACCATGCCTCACGTTGTGTTTTCCGATGCGTCGGGGTCAGCGTTCGTTCGTTCGGAGCTCGTGAAGTCGATGGGGCGACGCGTCGGTCGGCTCTGGGGAAGCAGGAGGGAAAGTTCACGTAGAGCCGCAGAAATTTGGGTGACTCAGGTGCGATTTCTGCAAGGGTGCCTGAGGCTTCAATTGTCAGCCAATTACTTTGCGTCGAAGAAGGCAGCAATGGCCAGTGGCCCGTGCCTGCCCGTTCTACCCCAGGCGGCCATCGGCAATGGGGTTTTGTTTCTGTCATGGCATACCTAAATTCGATGGTGGTGGATGGCGATTATGTGTCCCTGTCACGAAGTTGAACCAAGGCGGAAATATCGATATCTCGATAAAGTGAAGTCAAAAAAGTCTGCTCGTTGGTGATGATACGGCCAAGTGTGCTTGCTGTGTTCGTATTGTGATGGATGTGGTCATAAGTTGTGTGAGAAGGTAAGAAGCCGGTCACCGCGATAAATCGACTGTGTAGAAATTGGAGGCGGAAAGGAGAAGCTATTTGCCCAAGCACTTGCCTGGCTGAGAGACGTAGACAGCCTGAGGGTGTTGATGGATGAGGCGGTCCTAGGTAAGGTACCTAGACAGGAGAGGAAGAGTGGGTCGTGGTCACTTACACGGAAGGAAAGGGCAGATTCCGTCTTTTGAGGTCTTCCTTCCTCAAGGTGATCCGGATTCCTGAGCTAGGGTTTATATATGCTGACATGCCTACTTCATATTCGAGTTGTAGTAATCTCCTATGACCGAGATATCAATCAAGGTATCGCAGCTTGTCCTTGTTCAAAGTCTCCAGATCTATGGCAAACAAGGGAATTTTTTGGCAGTAGCTGGCTACCCTTCTGGCCTTTCAAGACATCCATCTCCACATCAATCGCTTTTCTGAACCGCATTTCCCCAGACTCGCTCTTTCACTAATGCGGCATAGCGCAGAGCCAAATATGCTTCACCAATGAGCAGGACAAAAAGCCACGTTCTATCTACCTACTTGTCCATTGTCTACTCCAACCTTGATTGCGAGAGGCTGGCTGAGGATCGACCCGCTCTGATCATCTCGCGCAATGCGAGACAAGATCTATTATAAAATTCGCCATTCCGCAATTCGTAAGCATGAAGCTGTAGGCCTGTTGCCTCAATGCCGATTAATTAAGTACATACATGTCCAAATTGCTGCAGGGCGGACATGGTGTGCCAAGATACACTGCATTCAACATTCGTTTGATACGTTTTTGTATTTCTCACAATCTCTGTATCTCCGATTAAGGAAAAGATTGCATACGCGTACAGATAGCATCCTTCCAAGACGGCTTTAATGCGAGGTAGTCTTATGACGCCCACCGTCTGCCTCCTCCCTCTGATAGTCAGAAAAAAGCCTTTTGTGCAAACTCCATACGCCCTTTTCTTTAGTAACGAGTAACGATGACCCTCCCGCCATACTCCTGCTACCCCTATCCTAACTTTGATCCCCAATGGGCTCTTGAATGACGGCAATTACTTGCAACGCTTCTCCACGATGCTGACACCATTCTCCTCGTACTCCTTGCGCGAGATCCACATCTGGTGGAAGGTACCCAAGCTGGCCAGGATGCTGCCGCCGATCCAGGCGCCGAAGCGACGCTCGCTGGAGAGACCGGCCGCGTGGATCTTGATCTTGAGGCCAGGGTACATGGCCGTGAGCTCGTTGTTCAAACGGTCGTTGAAGCCGTTGAGCAAGCTGGTGCTGCCAGTGACCACGATATTGCCGAGGAGGTTGGGGCGCAGGTCGACATCGACAGCATTCAGGGCGGCGCGAATGAGCTCGGGGATCGTCTGCGACTTGTTCAGGCGGAACTCCTCGTTAGTGGTCGGGAACGCCGCGGTCTCGTCCCACATGCCCTCGGAGACCTTGTACCGCTGCTCGCGCCACATCTGGTTTGCGCCGTTGGGGAACTCGAACACGCGGCCGGGTTGCGTCTTGGCGAACTCCTCGTTTTGCGGCACGGCGTACTTGCCGGGTCCGCGCCAGGTCTCGACCACTGACTCCTTGAATTCCGTAAGGAGACGGTCGTCCTCGTAGGCGCGGAATGAGTCCGTGATGGAGAAGTCGAACTTGCGTTCCTTGAACTGAGCAGGAGCGCCTGCATCGACGGGGGTCTTACTCTCGACCATGTATGTAGGAACGGGCTCGATCTTGGGCTCTGAGGTCTCCCACAGGCTGCGAATCTGGGACGACAGCCACAGGCCACCAACGGGAGACTTCTGGATGGATCGCTTCAGGACCATGCCGTCGTGAATAGCCGTAACAGAAGTGTTGGAGCCGCCGACATCAATAACCAGGGCACTCGCCTTGCCAGCCGCAAAAGCAGCGAGGACGGGCGTTCTGCTGAGCCAAAACGCAGGGCAGCCCCAGTTCTCCATGATAATCTCGATGGCCTTCTCTCTAGACTTTGCAGAGTTCCACGGCGCCTCGGTCATCAGGAGCGGGTTCTCTTGCAGGGCCTTCTCTTGCGACTCCACGTCCTCCATGGCCACGTCGACGTCGCCATTGGCCTCACCTCCCTCGACTTCCTCCTTGGGGTCATCGTTCAGGCCGTTCTTGGACGGATGAGTCGGGCGCCCAGGCTGAAGGCGTGTGATGAGCATGTGCTCCCAGAGCTTGTTGGCGACATCCCAGTCCTCGACAACACTGTCGCGCGTCATGTAGTTGCGGACCTCAAGGTCGGCCCGGGGGATCAGGCACTCGTCGCCGAAGACGGTCGTCGGGGTATCGGAGGAGCCAACACGGCCGTAGAAGGACGGGAAGACGGACTTGGGGACATCCTCGCCAGCGAATCCGGCGCGGGTGCTACAGTAGCCTGGGTCGAGGACCAGAGCGGAGACCTCATCTGCTCGCGATGGTTAGATTGGGCTACGCGTAGAGTACAGCGGCAGGTGGGCGTTTACCTCCTCCGTAGATGTCGGTCGGCTGGACGGCCGAGGACAGCGGTTGTTGAGACATGATTGCAACTCGACGTGTGAAGCGACAATCCACCGAGATAATTGAGATGGTTCGAGGGCGGTGGGGTGGGTTGTTGCGATGCTTCGGTCGATTGAAAGTCGCGTCTGGTCAAAATTTGGCGCGGTGGTTGGAGGAAGATGCAAGGCTGAGAGATTCCAGCCACACCCCACCGTGTCATAGCGGGACACACTGTACGAGCTCTCGGTGAGAGCTATTGACCGAGCAGGGATGTCGACTCTTGAATTACAGCATCTTCACATCCCACCATAAAGCATTTGGACATGGATTCTAAAGAGCGGAGTCTCAATAGGAGGGATATTTTATTCACTTTGGCGTTTTGAAATACCAAGGGACTGTGAATCTAGCGTGCCACCGGGTATTTCATTTTCGTTTTGGTGTGTTCGATTTCAATTGATTATGGATTTAAGCTTCATGTCACAATATACTCGTCCTCTGACTCAAAATCTCGTCCCTCTCCATAGAGAACTTCACACGCGCCGGCCAACGGTATGTCCATCACAGCATCCGTCCCCTCGTTCCATATATTCTTCCAGTCGTATCCTCCCCCCGGCAACCTATGATCCCTTTTATTCCTAGACCTCTTCTTCGGGTCATCCCTCAGCCGCCCCTTGCTGTCAATGACCCCAATCTTGGAGGCATCGTCCACCACTGTCTCAATGGAGCTCAGCGGCAGCGTTAGAATCTCCGTATTGTACGCCGCGAGCGCGATGTAAATGTAGACCCCCAGCATCGTGAGGAAGGCCGGGATCGCGAGCGACCACCAGCGATTCGGATAGTAGTAAATGCCGAGCGCGTGGAGGAAAGGCGAAGGCAGGTAGGACCAGAGCAGGTAGACGAGGAAGGTCAGCGTCGAGAAGAGGTACAGCACGAAGCCGTAGTACTCGTAAGTCGGCACCTGCGGCGACGCGCGCGGCACGGGTTCGAAGTCGTCGTCCGAGGCATCGGGGGTCGTCGGTCGCGACGGGCGGAGGAGCGATGTCAGCGACGGCGAAGGAGGTAGAGGGGTTGGCGGGCGACCGTAGAAGGGGGGCGCAAAGTAGTTTAAGTTGTGATGCAGGGGTCGCGGGGCCGGTAGGTCTTCGCCGTCGTCGCTGGACTCAGAGGCGAAGGATTGGTTGTCGAAGAGGAGCTCTTCTTCTTCGTCTGAGGATAGAGACATTTTGGGCGAGAAGCCCGGTCAGCCTAGCCTCTGCTATCAATGTTGCGACAGTGGAGTTATGGTGTTGCAAGAGGCAGAATTGCCATTTCCCCAGGTTGGCTCCAGTGGAAACTTAGAATTGGCCCTGTCCGTCCCGCCCCTGTCCACCTAGCATGCACGGAGTAGTGGGGCCGCTTCATCCTCAAGGTCGGCGCCGATTAGCTACCTTTTTGAACCTCCCGTCTTCACCAGACCCTTGGTATCATACTTTTTTCCTCATACTGTAAGCCCAGGTCACGGAACTCGTATCGGTCTACAAGAAAAGGCCCTCTTCAGTAGGAAACCAGTCGAAGTGATATATGCCAATATAGTTCGCAGGTTCTTATAGGATACATGAATGGTCAGAGACCCAAAAGATGGTCATTGCGATAAGCATCCCAGGTCACTTACACAGTTCTTTCACTTCCACGCGTTGATCAAGTAAAGTCTAGTTTCTATGAACGAGATATCTCACCGTTAAAATTATTTTCTCGTCTTGCACTCATGAATTTTTACCGATAAGCTTTAACCGATATGTTAGGATCGGCCCCTGTCTCTTTCCTCTCGCTCCAGACACATCGAGAAGCAAGATGTTCCACCCGTGCTACGGGTACACACATCCGCATCATCTTCTCCCAAACGCTTGTCGAAACCAACCTATTCACAAAGTCAGAGACTAAACTCCGGCAAACACCAACGTCAAACTAAACAGGAAACGAGCAAACTCACCTCTCCGATTCTCGTCTCTTCTATTCTCACCTCTCCTCGTCCCCGCCGGTTCTATCCAAACCCGGTTTCTCAACCCATTCCTCACCCTCACCGCCTGCGCCCACGTCAACCCGAACCGGACGCTGTTGTGCAAACTACACGCCACGATCCCGCACGTACGGCACCGAAAGTACACGGCGTACGCCCTCGACCGGCAGAACATGCACGCCGGCGGCTGGACGCGGTTGTTCATGTCCTCCACCTCCCATGACGTCGGCAGGTGGTGGCTGCACAGCGGGTCCTCGACGTGGATCGCGAATATGGGCCAGGCCCGTGGTGCTCCCGCCCTCTCGCCCGGCCGGGCAAGGGGAGGTGGTCGGCGCCTGTTGGCGCGGAGTTCGGGGCGCCACTCTCGGGTTTCTGGCTGGATTATGGGAGTGAGTCCTTGTCAGCGGAGGTTCAACACCAAGTGTAAAGAGGGCAGGGGAAAGGAACCCGTGTTCTCATCATACCTCGGTGTTTCTGCCGTCTGGGTAGTACATGATGATACTAAATCGTCCCCGACCCTGTCGAACACAAGCTTCCCGGTCCATGTCGTATACGTTACGCTGATCTATGAACGGTATTTCTCCCATAGGTTGAAAGCCTTGCAAGTGCGGCTGGGGAATTCCTACAGACGTAAAGTCAGTGCCCTGCTGTTGCTCAGATATCGTTTGAAACCACAGTCATAAAGACAGTAGTCGGAAAGAAATCGATACGGCCGGCGTCGATCGAAAACTGTGCTGGCGGAGGAGATGGCACAAACCACAGGCTGGATCCCTAACTGGAAACTACACCCCCTTTTATGAAAATGACATGTTTCTGGCTTATGACTGGGTTGGGAGGAGGAGTCACTTACCTGCAGGAAATGGCTCCCACAAACCATCAAGATTTGCTTGTGGAAAGGGTTGAGCTTGCGATTGAACTTGAGGTGGTTCAGGCGGCGGCGGCGGCGGAGGAGGAGGAGGAATAGGAGGATGCCGAAGGACCGGCGTGGGAACAAGAAGTCGACCATCTTCCCCAAGTTGACCCTGCCGATACGTCGTCCTCCGATCCCTCATATTAACACGGCCCCCGAATCCCGTACCTCTGCAGTTCTGCACACAGCCTCTACTCCATATCCCGCCGCACGAGAAGCAGAACTCTTCGCCGCATACGCACCTACAAGTCCTCCGATCAGTTCATTCCTTGCTTCAATTTGTTTCCCAGGATAGGACATCGGGGAAAGGGGCTCAAAAACTCACGTCATATGCGTACACCCGCCCGCACGCTCAATAATCCTCCGACAACTAGGACAAGGCGAAAGATGAAGCTCATCCATGACGTCCATCAACGTCTCGTCCTCGGCCTCGGTCCCACACGGCGCACCCGGATGAAGCAGCCCTCAACACGCCCGACACGTCCCCTGCCCACACGCAGGACAAAACATCGCGTCGTCACCAGCAGCAGCACCACCACCAGCCGGTATAAACGCAGCACACTCGGGTCTAGCACAATACACCCTCTCCTCGCCAGGCGTCTCCTCCTCAACCCGAACCTGTCTGTATAGCCTCACCAACCGCGGCCGTTCCATGCCGGCGGCCTGCTCAACGTTGTCTGGTTGTAGAGGCTGGCAGCACCGCGGCGGCCAGCCTCCTGGACGTAAGCCCGCGCGGAGACAGCGGCGGAGACAGCGGGGGCACATGCGGCAGCCGCAGGGGAGGCGGTGGAGGGGTTGTCTTGTTGTGAAGCAGACGACGCATTCCGTTCTGTCGTCGTCGTCATCGTCGTCGTTGTTGGTATTGTTGTTATTGTTATCTTCGGCATCTGAGGTTTCTGCGCTGTTGTTTCGTGTATCAGTTAGGAGCCGGTTGCGTTCGTCCCAGCTAATGTATCCTCCTGTGTCCTCATTATTGACAATGTTACCGGGATTGTTGGTGGCATTATTATGGTTGGCATCATTCTCGTCGTTGTTGGTGTTATTGTCGCCTTCGATTGCCATGATGCTCTGTCTCATGGCAATAGCGAGTTGCTGGTCCGGGGTCGCCATCTCGAGCGCCCTCACCGCAGCACGCTCGACCTCTCGTTCCGTTGCAAAGCGCAACGTATCGAGGTTGAGGAAATCATGTTCGATAATGAGGTTTGAAACGTCCTCGTCGAGGCGTTGAAAAAGGTCCATCTTTGTAGGTTTGGTCTACTTCCTTTCCGTTTCATGCTTTCAGGCGCGGGCAATAGATGGCAGTTGATGTGTGTATGCTGTCCTCTCGAGGCGTATCAATCTTGGATCTCCCTCTCTCGATCTATAGGTCAGTGACACATCGCCCTCCTGGAGTCACATCCTCAAAATATACTTGAAGCTTCCCTTCCTTCAGCGTCAATGACGCAGACTGACAAACCAGTGAATGTGTTCTCTATCACTATGCAACTAAGTCACTTACAATGAGCACCGCAGAAGCCTCCCTTAATCCGAAAACCAGGACCCATATTCACCTTGTGCGCAAGACGTAGAGCAGCAGTTCACCAATTTCACAGTGAAGCCACGGGGGAGCCTTGAACTATGCTGCCTTCAACGATAGACGCGGAGGTCGATGCTGGAATATATGCTGTGGTCGACTCTTCTTCCTGGGCCAAATTCTGCATGTTTGACTCAGGCTCAACTCTGCTGAGCAGGGTAGTGCAAATGTGTATGGCATTACTGTCCGACAGTCGACTTTTTGCATATGGAGCTATAAAAGGGCCAATTTACTTATACCAGCAACGGGATTTGGACGTCTTGTTGTGAAGTTCAATCAACGCAGCGAACATACTGGGACACGATTTCTCGCTCTCCAGTTCGGACCTAAAGTTATCCTCTCAAATACGTTTGACGTGATGTCCAAGTACTGAATCAGAGGTCACAGGTATCACGAAAAGCAGCATAGTGTCATTGAACAGTGATGGACTGATTTGACTCAAATTGATAGATGACAAAAGAGCTGCCTTGCCCCTGCCTATCTTCTAGACCGGATGAAACCGGCCTTGTTCCCACCGCTCCGTCATACTAAGGTGTTATGCCCAAAGAGGTGGGTTTGATATATCATCGACTCCCTTACGCCATAAAAGCTGACTCCTTCGTCAAACCGTAATGGGATATTCTCGTCGACATTGACCGTGATATCTTTACTCGCTTTGTCCAAACGACCGCTGCGCTGCAATATAGTGGCAAGACCTGTTTCCGCCATAATGAACCCCCAGAACCAACCGCCCATCGGTGGCTATGGCCAATGAACCCCCCATAAACTCCGAACATTGTAAACTCCGACGCTGCTATCCGGGATATGATGTGAAATGACAAGGAAAGAAAAAGAGCGGTAATAGTAACATCATATATAAAGTAGAAGATGGGTATAAATGATCAATAACTGAAGTCCACATTACCCATCTGGGATAACATCTTTGCTTCCGCTTCCGTCGAGCTCGCAGTCGCGCCGGTGTTTGTTGATGTCGCCGAATTTGAGTTTGTTTGTGAGGTTTGCGTCGTTTGTGAAGTGGAATTTGTCTGTGTTTGTTGCAATTCGTGTTCCGGTGGGGGTTGGCCACTGGGCGACCATCCTTCGTCTAGAATCTGTTGGAAGCTCCAGCTGGGTTCGAACCTGGTGCTGTTCCAAGCGTAGTCGACACGTTCGTACATCTCATCAATCTGCTCAAGACTGATCTTGCTCGTCTCAAAGACCATACACCACACGAACAGAACCGCCAGAATGCAAAAGGCACCCCAGAGGAAGAAGATCTTGGGACCAATATCGGCGTAGCCGGGCCCTTGACCAACCATGAATGGAGTGCCGTATGCGATGCCAAAGTTCAAGAGCCAGTTGGAAGCGGTCGAAATCGAGGCAGCCTTTGCACGGATCTTCAGGGGGTAAATCTCGGACGTAATAACCCAGCACACAGGGCCCCATGATGCCGCAAAGAAGAATATGTTGATGGCGCAGAAAACGATGAGGATGGTTTGCGCGGCCTGCTGTAGGTTCTCTCCGGCGGCCGTGGAGAAGGAGGCGATGAGGAGTTGACAGACTGCCATGCCGATAGCACCGACCATGAGCAACTTGCGACGGCCCCAGGATTCGATGACAAGGAGGCCCGGGACTGTTCCAACGACATTGATAATGTTGATAATGAGAGCCTTTACGTATGGGTTCTCAACCCTGGCGCCATCGAAGAAGGACGTGCTGTAGTACATGATAAAGTTGATACCCGTCAGTTGTTGCAGCATTTGAAGGCAGCATCCAGTGAGAGTTCTTCGACCAAGATGGGGGGATCCATAAAATATTTCCTTGTAGGAGTCTGGACCAAGTGTGAGTTCATACTCGTGGTTTGCCACAATTTCCTGGAGCTCGTCGAGTAGGGCGGGATGGGTAATATCGAGGCGACGGAGGCGACTGAGTGATAGACCAGCGGCTTCTGGCTTGCCCTTCTTGACAAGAAAGCGTGGTGTTTCGGGGAGGACCAGGAGACCGAGGGTTAAGACGACAGCCCACACAAGTTGAAGGCCAAGCGGGATGCGGTAGGCGGCGCCAGAGTCCAGCCTTTCGGTCAAGATGTTAACAAAGGACGCGGACAGTAAACCAATCGTGATGGATAGTTGGTAGGCGCAGACGAGGGTACCTCGAATCCACTTCGGAGCCATTTCTGACTGATAGACTGGGACGAGTACTGAGATAGATCCAACGCCGACACCAGCAAAAAACCTGTGCATTTGGTCAGCGACGCGTTGCGCGATGAGCCGACACAACCAAATTCTTTAAGCATACCTTCCGACCAAGAGCATTGGGATGTCGTGCGCGCAGACTTGGAAAATTCCACCGAAGCTGAAGACGCCGGCGGATAAGATGAGCGAAATGCGACGGCCCCAACTATCGCCGATAGGCGCGGCGAGGAGAGCACCGAGGACTGTTCCGGCACTCAGAATTGCGACGATGATGGAGGATTCGGCGGGTGAAATAGCAGGCTTCAGGTTTTCGGTATAGCCGGTGGAAAAGTCTCGTCGGAAGGCCGTCATGGAGAGGATACCGTTAATCGTTCTACAATCCGTCACGAATCAGCGTCCAAGTCTCCGGAAGAACCCCCCCACGGACACACGAATATGAGCACCAGCGCCATCGCTTCCTTTTCCTTCTCTTATTCGTCTGTCGTTGAGGGGGGTGCTCGATCGTATTGCCGCTTTGTGGATGTGTGTTTGTGTGTGCTTACCCAGTGTCGTAGCCAAAGAGCAATCCGCCCGAGGCGACGAACAGACCGACCATGATGGCCGGGGCCGACGAGCCGGCGACATTGTCGGGCTTCTGCCAGCCCATGGCTATCGCCATGGTGAAGGGGGGTTTCGGCTCGAGCAATCCAGAATGGAAGCGTTGTACTACGAGAGGGCGAAACTCTCGAGGGTCGTCGAGAATCGAGGTGGAAATGGGCCGGCGACCATTTGAGTGAAGTGACGGGCGACGGGGACGGCGACGGCGGGCGAGTGAAGAGTGGTGAATCGACGAAGTGTGGGTAACGATGGATGGATAGGATGGAATGGGACAGGACAGGCAGATGGGGTGTGGAGAAGGAAGCAGGGAGACAGGCGAAGGTAAGAAGCACGAAAGGTCGGGCAGTCGGGTCCCGGGTCCTCTAGTCAGTCCAGTTCAGTTGCTCGGAAGAAGGAGCCACCAAAAAAGCCACCACCGCCCACCTACTGCGTACATACCACATACGCCCACCACAGTGGCACAGTGGGAGTCTGGGAGTTCTGGGACATGGAGAATGGGGGCGAGGCAGAGAGCCAAGTGGAAGGAAGGAAGGCAAGTCTGAGCCAGAAGGGAAGGGGGGGCCTGAGGCACAGAGAACACTGTGAACAGCGCGAGTCTGGGGTGTGTGGAACTCTGGAGGGAAGATGAGCCAGTCAAAGAGACGGAGGGCTAGGGGAAATGTGGAGATGGAGGGCGGGTGAGAAAAGTAGCAAGTCTTTCCCTCTCCCAGACAGAATTCCAACTCGCCTTACCTCTTACCTCAGCATGCTCAGGTCAGCTTTCTCTGGCTCATCCCCGCCATTAGCACACAGCATCAGCCCGGAAAAAAGCAAAGCAGAAAAAGCACCAGCAGTTAGGTACCGCAGTACCTGACCTAGCGAGAAAAAAAAGTGACGAGGAACATACGAGACGCAGCGACGTATACCTACTTAGTTCAAGTTGCGAGGTATGGGCAGGAAAAAAAAAGGCACAGTTAAGCTGCCCCGTGAACAGACTCAGAATCAAACACTGTGAAGCCTCGACGCAACCAACAAAGATTGATCGCTGCCACATCCACCTTGGCCCACCCATTCGCTGTTGAAGGGACGAGGGGGAAGGACGAAGGACCCGTGGCACCGTGGATCAGCACAGTTTTTTTGAGGGTTCTCCCTCCCTCGTCTCCCACAGTATACATAGGTGACTAGCGATTCTTGGGAACGGGTGACTGTGCCTGTCTTGTCCCCCTCGTCTGGCTCCTCTTGGGAACCTCGACTCTTGAGTTTTGTGCTGGTCTTGTGCTGGGTTTTACTACTTTTGAGAGGCCCCAGCCAGGTGGCTGCGGCTCTAATTGGCTCCTTTGAGGATGGGTGGTGCATCCGGCCGTGCTCACCTCGCCAGTCACATACCCCTTTACCACAACTATTCCGCATCTGGCGATAGCGGCTTTTACTCTTGTTCCCCCTTGGCGCCAGAAGATGAAAGGCGGGATGGAATATGGAATTGGACGGGGCATAGTATCCGTGGTGGAGTGGACGTGCCTGGACCGTACGAATACCAATGTATCCGTACCTCGATGAGATTCGCCAGCTTCCAGCATATTGGTCCTGTTATTTTGTGATACCTACAAGTTGGTACGGGTACTCTTCTCCAAAGGCGTCGAGTCTCAACAGTCCAGCCTCATGAGCTTCCATAGCTCTGGACAGTAAGGTAGCTGATGTACAGACGAGCTACCTAAGTGGCTGAGGGAACTAGAGTGTTACACACGCGACTGTACTGATGCATCTCTCTCGCCAAAAGGTAGTCAATCAACCACATAACTTGCTGGATTATTCCATGGTTTGGCGCTAGGTTTCTCCTTATTTGCGGGGGACGCTGAATTCTGGAGGAACTCTGATCATAAGGAACTGAAGTCAATCCTGGGCGGAAGGATGAACTT